TAGTACACTGAGTATGTAGGCCTAGTTTTGATTAGCATGTCATGATTTGCACGCTAGGGTGGGGCTGGGCGGGGACAGATGAATGTGTGTGTGTGGTTTTGTGTGGTGTGGTTTGTGTGTTTCCCTCCAGTCATTTGCTTCGCGCTGCTCTTGACGTTCTCCTCAGAGCTGCAGTTCAGTGGCGTGTGGATTTACAACAAGCATCGAGACGGTTCATAAGTAGTTGATAAACAGTGAAAGTACTTCATAAGCACTTTATAAACAGTTAGAAAAAGCAGTAGTCCAATGTTAGATTCTTCATCAGTGTTATGCCTAGGTGTTTACTTTGAGGTTGAAGGACAATGCGTCAGCTTAATTGGCTTTACCCTGGCTAACTCAATCATGTTGTTCATTAGGCTCTAGAAAACCCATCCACATTCGCAGGACTGTAAAAACCCAAACACCTGCTAGGCTGTAAGTAGAGACATGATGGTTCTCAGCCAGTGAGCAACACTGCAGACAGACACCCCGGTCACAAGTACTTCTACAACTCATTCAATGCTATTGGGACTCACTCTCCAAGCAACAGCCTCAGTAAGTCCAGTGTAACACTGATCTCTCCCAGAGCTGAGCCCAGGGGAACTCTTCCTAGACGGGCTGTGACTCTACACCACAGACGGAGGGAGGAGGGCAGAGGCAGGCAGGAAATTCCCGGGAAAACAAGACTTCCTGAGTACCCCTCTGGCCAGGATACTCCTGGGACACATTCCTCCTGACATCCTGAGGTCACGGACAGGTTCAGGATGATGATGTCAGAGGTATTATGTCATTTGTCAGACCCGCAACACACTCATGCCTTTTCCACCATGGCCCAGTTGTCAGTTCACAGTGGTTATCAGGAGCGACTAAAAAGCATGTCATTGAATTGGGGCTGGAAAAACGAGGTCGGGGCGAGTTTGCACTTGTCTGAAGCGAACTTTCCAGGAGTCGACTGTAATAGCCTACATCCTTGTCCTACTACTCAGTGGACCAATAGGATTATAGACACGTCAAACCCAGGCTCTAGTCCAGCTGTCAGTTTCTCACAGTCACACTACTGTACTAAAACAAACCCCCCTCACAATCAGGCAGTCAGTCAGCCCCTACCTTGCTGTAGTTAGCTGATGAGAGCGTGAACAGAGCAGACCCTCCCTAGGCTATGGGCCTGTTAAAGGCAGGAGCTGTTACCGTCTCTCATCTGTACCCAGGATGAGTAGGAGACAGAGTCACACACACAGAGTCAGGACTGCCAACGTGGCTCTCTGGATTAGACCTACGTTTCTGTTGTAAAAAACATGCTGTTTCAGTTAACCTACTTGTGTAACCGACCAGGTATTGAACACGGTTCATCAATTTAAATCAAGTTAGCCCCACAGTTGAATTTCACAGCCTAGACCATTCATATTGTGTTTGTTGATTTGGACAATGGTTGGGATGTTTGATGTTGAGCTATCAGTTATGATTTAATATTATTTTTGTCATTATTTTGATATTCAATTGGGATTTGAAGACCCAGACAAAAAAAACCTGATAACAGGCTTTGATTGAATACCCCCTGGCTGTTATTGACTTGATGAAAGTGAAAAGATCTTTGTGTTCCTGTTCTCATGACATTTGTTCTCAAAGTGTTGTCTCACTGGAAGTTCACAAACACTCCAACCCGAAACATTAATATATATATATATATATATATATATTATATATACACACACTTGACCCTCAAACCAAGGAACACATTTATAACACAATATTTCAAGATGATTGCGAGTTTAAAAAGCTACCTCAAAATCTAGCTCTTCAGGATCTTGCTAAACACAGATGCATGACCCTTTAGTGACTTCCAGTATCAGATGTGTGATATCTGATCTCCTTTCTGGCAGAGCCATCCTGCTATCCCAGCTGCTCTGTTCTACCCAGGCAGCCAACCCAAAGAAGACTCGGTGCACTTAATAAAACTCCCTGTCAATACAACATTGATACACTGGGGCACTGTGTGTGTGTGTGTGTGTGTGAGAGAAAGAAAGAGCTGTGTGTGTGTGAGAGAAAGAAAGAGCTGTGTGTGTGTGAGAGAAAGAGAGAGCTGTGTGTGAGAGAAAGAGAGAGCTGTGTGTGTGAGAGAAAGAGAGAGCTGTGTGTGTGTGTGAGAGAAAGAGAGAGCTGTGTGTGTGTGTGAGAGAAAGAGAGAGCTGTGTGTGTGTGAGAGAGAAAGAGAGAGCTGTGTGTGTGTGTGAGAGAGAGAGAGCTGTGTGTGTGTGTGAGAGAAAGGGAGAGCTGTGTGTGTGAGAGAAAGAGAGGGCTGTGTGTGTGTGTGAGAGAAAGAGAGAGCTGTGTGTGTGTGTGAGAAAGAGAGAGCTGTGTGTGTGTGAGAGAAAGGGAGAGCTGTGTGTGTGAGAGAAAGAGAGAGCTGTGTGTGAGAGAGAAAGCGAGAGCTGTGTGTGTGTGAGAGAAAGAGAGAGCTGTGTGTGTGTGAGAGAAAGAGAGAGCTGTGTGTGTGTGAGAGTAAGAGAGAGCTGTGTGTGTGTGTGAGAGAAAGAGAGAGCTGTGTGTGTGAGAGAGAAAGAGAGAGCTGTGTGTGTGTGAGAGAAAGGGAGAGCTGTGTGTGTGAGAGAAAGAGAGAGCTGTGTGTGTGTGAGAGAAAGAGAGAGCTGTGTGTGTGTGAGAGAGAAAGAGAGAGCTGTGTGTGTGTGAGAGAGAAAGAGAGAGCTGTGTGTGTGTGAGAGAGAAATAGAGCTGTGTGTGGGAGAGAGGGAGAACTGTGTGTGTGTGAGAGAGGGAGAGAGCTGTGTGTGAGAGAGGGAGAGAGCTGTGTGTGAGAGGGAGAGAGCTGTGTGTGTGTGAGAGGGAGAGAGCTGTGTGTGTGTGTGAGAGAGGGAGAGACCTGTGTGTGTGAAGGGACAAAGGGAGCATTATGCGTGTTTAGGTGGAGAAGAGGGGGAAGAGAAGAGGTAGACTAGAGAAACTCTCTTTCTCTGGAGCGCTGTCTTATGAACACCAAACTATGGGTCATATGATGAGCAGCACAGAGAACGTGTGTGTTGGGGGGGGGGGGGGGGTAGTCTAAGTGATTAGGAAGAGGGGGTGAGGTTCTAGGGATGGATGTTGGGTATTATGCTTTAATTACAGTTCAAACCATTTTTGTGTGTGATGTGCAGCCTTGTGTTTAGTGTTGTTGACAGATTAAGTCCCCCCCCCCCCCCCCCCCCCCCCTGCCCTCCCAGCCCCCTTGTCCAGTCCAAGCCTCATGTAGCATAATGCTCTTATTAGATTTGCTGTTTTACTAGGAGTTTACTGTGAGGAAGTCTGTGTCTTTACTGCCCTTCAGACCCTCTCTCTTCCCACAAAGTTTTCTTGATCCATTTCTCTTTTTCTTGCCATCTCGTTCACTCACTATGCTTATGGTTTCCTAACGCCTTGAATACGCCTGCAGCCAAACTAATGATTTCATGTTAGTTAAGGCAATAGGCAGGTCACGTAGACATTCTTAGAAATGCCTTTGACCTAGCCTACATCTGCTCTCTGACACATAGAAAGTGGCGTTCATGTAGAGAAGAGCCAATTTGTTCCAGTAGGCCTCCGGCGGAGCAGGGGACTCGGGTGATTCAATCCCACAGCAGATGACTGCTCGTCCCAGCCGATGGGCTCTGGTCGATAAGCCCTTCATCCACACAAAGCTCCATGATCTCAAGACTGTGTGTCGGCGGCGAATGTTAGTTCCAGCCTAGTGTTGTAACACTAGATTCACCTCAATCTAGTGTCAGGTGTGTTAGTGCTGGGCTAGAACCAAAGCCTGCAACACCGCTCTAACAGGTCTCTAAACAGTCACAGGCTGGTTCAGCTCTTTTACTGTACGTTTCTAATAAGCTAGGAGGTGTGTAGTTGATCTTTATGTGTGGGTGTGTCACACTGCTCTAAGCTGTGAAGGAGACGGTTGATCAGTGTGTGTGTCTCGCTAGGTTATGTCATAACTCCTCAGCCTTGTTTTTGCTGGTTACAGACAGACTCGCACTCTCTGTCTCTCATTCCCATGGACAATTGTTGAGTTTTTCCGTTGATCTGAAGATACTGGTGCTGAGCTCTAATGGATAATAACAAGACTTTTACTACAGAACACTGATCTGTCAGTACATCACACACACTCAAGGTGTGTGTGTGTGTGCGCGCACCAAGGGGCTGGCGCTCTGCACCTGTTGTCTGAAACCCGCTGAATGGAACTGAAGACAGACACACAAAACAACAGACTGAATGGCGCTGCAGACAGACAGACACAAAACAACAGACTGAATGGCGCTGCAGACAGACAGACACAAAACAACAGACTGAATGGAGCTGCAGACACACACACAGGCAGACGGGTGGGTTTTGTCTCATTGATCTCAGTCCAGATTTATGAGTCAGCAAGGCCTTGCAGAGCTGTCCCCATTCACCTCTTCTCTCTCTGTCCCTAGAGTCTGTCCCCATTCACCTCTTCTCCCTCTGCCCCTAGAGTCTGTCCCCATTCACCTCTTCTCTCTCTGTCCCTAGAGTCTGTCCCCATTCACCTCTTCTCCCTCTGCCCCTAGAGTCTGTCCCCATTCACCTCTTCTCCCTCTGTCCCTAGAGTCTGTCCCCATTCACCTCTTCTCTCAATGGCCCTAGTCTGTCCCCATTCACCTCTTCTCTCAATGGCCCTAGTCTGTCCCCATTCACCTCTTCTCTCTCTGTCCCTAGAGTCTGTCCCCATTCACCTCTTCTCTCAATGGCCCTAGTCTGTCCCCTTTCACCTCTTCTCTCTCTGTCCCTAGTGAGTGACTCTAAGGATCACAGGAGGTGGTGGCAGAAGGAATCTGACATAAACATGATGCATACAGCTAGCTCTCTGTCCTGTCTGTTGGCTAGAGCTTAATGAACTTTCTCACAAGTACTTAACACACATGGACACATGCCATTGTGTTAGTGTTTTAACAACTCGCTCTCTCTGCCTCTGTCTCTGTCTCTATCTGTAGAGGTACATGGTGTTTGAGGACAGTCAGGACACGGAGAAGAAGGACCTTCAGGGTCGACTGGTGATGCTGGAGTCTCACACACGTCAAATGGAGCTCAAGACCAGGAACTACTCGGACCAGAGTGAGTCTTAACAAACACGCATACATACAAATGCATACTCAATCAGTTACATAATCGATCAATCAATCATTGTCTTTTAGGACCGGAGCTGTGAACCCTTAATCAGTTTCTCCCCTAGGAATCTTTTCAGCAGTGGTGGCAAGGGTGGGTGGGGGGTTGGGGGGTGGGGGAGGGTTGGATGTGTCTGTATGTGCAGTCTATAAGGGTTTGTTCTGAGGTGTCTGTATGTTAAATGGAGACTTTCATTTAATTCTGCATTTCTTGCGTCACACCTCAAAGTAAGTTTATTCTGGTCTGCTGAGTTGGTGTTTGACTCTGATTGGGTTAACTAACCACTTTATGGGGAAGTACATGTATGGCTCTCTGCCAGCTGACCCTGACTGAGTACACACACACACACACACACACACACCCACACACTGCCTGACTTGATATTCACCAACACTCACAGCCAGGTCCACAGTCCTTGTTCTCTCCCATTCTGGCTTCTCCCCTGTCACCACATCTTCCTTTCTTTTATTCCACTTTCAGTTCTTTCTTCCTTTAGCCGTTATCTCTCTGTCTCTCTCTCTCATATAAACTAGATAGGGAGAGGCTGAGCAGTAATACGCATGTGTTGAGTCCTCGAGATGTGAGAACTCCTCATGAGGCCAGCTCATAGTTCAGATTGCTCATCAGTTGTGGGTAGAGTAGATGAACAGGACAGATATAGTAGACCGCAAGCCCTAAACATACTTCCACTTCCCAATACACACACAGCAGGTTAATTCCTAAAGGCTTATTTCTGTCTGTTCATTCTCTACTTGGTTCCTCTTTGTCTACCGGTAGTCACTAGTCATGGTAACAAGTAACTCACAAATCACATAGCCAGCTGAGCTAAGTCCTAGGCATTCACTAAACCACCTCCGACGGTCTCGATTTGAAGCCTTTCTACTGAAGCAAATCCCAGACATATATCATATTCAACTAAGAGCCAACGACAAAAACCCACAGTCTGCTGTTAGCCATGCTACCATAGAGAAATGTAGAGAGGGGTAGCAGATTTGATTAGACAACTGTGTTAGCATTTACTGACACAAACGCCACACGCTGTGTTGGGAGGGTCATTGTCAATAAGCAGATGGTAGGCCTGCTTGGGTTAGTGTCTCTATCTTATACAATCTGCCTTTGTGACAGGGCATTGGTCGAGTTCGTTTCGCATGGCCCGGTGCCCCGTGTGGGCGGAGTTAGCTCATTTTAGACCATTCCATTGGTTCTTAAATGAAATCTCCACCCACCCGGGGGACCGGCCATGCAAATACGAATTCCACCGTTGTTAGGCTGGGCAGTCATCTGAACACTCTCACTCACTCACACACTCACACAGGACATTGTCAGGGTGTTTTCACTATAAACAGTCCATGCCAGCCAAGTTTCCTACACAGTGGATTAAGTTACAGGGCTCAGAGCTATGTGTTTGACTGAAATAGAGTGGAGTTGATTCTAATGTATGCTAGTGTGTTTGGGTTGCTGCTTGTGCTTTTTTTATCTTACAGTTTAAACATGGCTTCCGAGGGTGTGATGACTAGTACGACTTTGTGTATGAAACGGCATAGAATTCCTGAAGTTTTTCATAGGGAAACGTTTTTACTCATGGCAGGATTATGGCTGCTCAGGGACCCCTAACCCAAAGCTGTGGAAAAGATCTCTGCATGAGTGTTTGATCATGCCAGACAGTGTTTTTACTAGTGCACTAACGACACCTGGTTGTCATGCACTGCTACTACAACTGACAGCAGTTTGATACTGTACTTGGTTTCTCATCTTGGAAGCCTGTTTTGAGACAGATTACTGATGTTCACGGACAGATGTTACTGATGTTCACTGACAGATATAACTGATGTTCACTGACATATAATACTGATGTTCACGGGCCGACGTTACTGATGATCACGGGGCGACGTTACTGATGATCACGGGGCGACGTTACTGATGATCACGGGCTGACGTTACTGATGATCACGGGGCGACGTTACTGATGTTCACGGGGCGACGTTACTGATGATCACGGGGCGACGTTACTGATGTTCACGGGGCGACGTTACTGATTATCACGGGGCGACGTTACTGATGGTCATGGACCGACGTTACTGATGTTCACGGGCTGACGTTACTGATGATCACGGGGCGACGTTACTGATGATCACGGGGCGACGTTACTGATGATCACGGGGCGACGTTACTGATGATCACGGGGCGACGTTACTGATGGTCACGGACCGACGTTACTGATGTTCACGGACCAATGTTACTGATGTTCCAAGATTGCATTCACTTTTAAGTAACTGTACACAAAAGGCTTTTGTATCTTCTGTATAACAGTTTAAGTGTTCTTTTGCCTCATTGACCATGTTGTTCTGTTTTAACTGAGATCACACGTCTAACCGTTCTCTATTTCAGTCGGCAGATTGGAGGAACGAGAAGCCGAGATGAAGAAGGAGTACAATGCCCTCCACCAGAGGCACACAGAGGTATGAGGAGGGAAGGGAAGTGTGTTGTAGTGCGTATTGGGACACTGAAATTCCAATTCTCTTCCAATGCTTTTCAATTAGGAAAATGTGGATTGGAATTTGGTTTACTTTCAGAGTTGACCCCAACCGTGATTGGGACTGTTCCATTCTTTCCATTGTACTGGGCAAACTAAATCAAGTAAAACTCAAGTATTTGTAAGTATATGACATATGTTTGAGACCCAGGTCTGCAGACTATTGCATCCTATTGTTGAGAGAGAGAGAATCCCTATATGAAGTATGTTGCCTCAACTCAGTCTGTCTAAAGTCTGTTATCCATAATGTATTACTAACACATTGGCCCAGATGCCAAAACAAACCACTCTGGCCTGCTGCATAGAGAACATGACATTTTAAATATGGACGGAAATTAGATTATAGAAGCTATCACACAATGCACAGTTGACAGCTGAGTACCAAACATGCCAGGAGGCTGTCTGTTCCAGCTGTATATGGATACAAAAACCCCATAAGAAACAGTTGGCATCATGGCCATCTTCACCGATGTACACTACCGGTCAAAAGTTTTAGAACACCTACTCATTCAAGGGTTTTTCTTTATTTTTACTATTTTCTACATTGTAGAATAATAGTGAAGACATCAAAACTATGAAATAACACATATGGAATCATGAAGTAACCAAAAAAAGTGTTAAACAAATCAAATAATATATATTTTATATTTGAGATTCTTCAAATAGCCACCCTTTGCCTTGATGATAGCTTTGCACACTCTTGGCATTCTCTCATCCAGCTTCATGAGGTAGTCACCTGGAATGCATTTCAATTAACAGGTGTGCCTTCTTAAAAGTTAATTTGTGGAATTTATTTCCTCCTTAATGCGTTTGAGCCAATCAGTTGTGTTGTGACAAGGTGGGGGGGTATACAGAAGATAGCCCTGTTTGGTAAAAGACCAAGTCCATATTATGGCAAGAACAGCTCAAATAAGCAAAGAGAAACGACAGTTCATCATTACATTAAGACATGAAGGTCAGTCAATACGAAACATTTCAAGAACTTTGAAAGTTTCTTCAAGTGCAGTCGCAAAAACAATCAAGCGCTATGATGAAACTGGCTCTCATGAGGACCGCCACAGGAATGGAAGACCCAGAGTTACCACTGTTGCAGAGGATAAGTTCATTAGAGTTACCAGCCTCAGAAATTGCAGGCCAAATATATGCTTTGCAGAGTTCAAGTAACAGACACATCTCAACATCAACTGTTCAGAGGAGACTGTGTGAATCAGGCCTTCATGGTCGAATTGCTGAAAAGAAACTACTACTAAAGTACACCAATAAGAAGAAGAGACTTGCTTGGGCCAAGAAAGACGTGCAATGGACTTTATACCGATGGAAATTTGTCCTTTTTGGTCTGGAGTCCAGATTTGAGATTTTTGGTTCCAACCACCATGTCTTTGTGAGACGCGGTGTGGGTGAACGGATGATCTCCGCATGTGTAGTTCCCACCGTAAAGCATGGAGGAGGAGGTGTTATGGTGTAGGGGTGCTTTGCTGGTGACACTGTCTGTGACTTATTTATAATTCAAGACACACTTAACCAGCATGGCTACCACAGCATTCTGCAGCGATACGCCATCCCATCTGGTTTGGGCTTAGTGGGACTATCATTTGTTTTTCAACAGGACAATAACCCAACACACCTCCGGGCTGTGAAAGGGCATTTCTCCCAAGAAGGAGAGTGATGGAGTGCTGCCTCAGATGACCTGTCCTCCACAATCCCCCGACCTCAACCAAATTGAGATGGTTTGGGATGAGTCGGACGGCAGAGGTGAAGGAAAAGCAGCCAACAAGTGCTCAGTATATGTGGGAACAAAAAGAGTGTGCAAAGTCTGTCATAAAGGCAAAGGGTGACTATTTGAAGAATCTCAAATATAAAATGTATTTTGATTTGTGTAACACTTTTTTGGTTACTACATGATTCCATATTACATTTTACATTTTAGTCATTTAGCAGACGCTCTTATCCAGAGCGACTTGCAGTTAGTACGTTTTTACAGTTTTTTTTTTGTCATACTGGTCCCCCGTGGGAAACGAACCCACATCCCTGCCGGCCAAATCCTCCCCTACCTTGGACAACGCTGGACCAATTGTGCACCGCCCATGGGTATCCGGTCGCGGCCGGCTGCGACAGAGCCTGGACTCGAACCAGGATCTCTAGTGGCACAGCTAGCAATGCGATGCAGTGCCTTAGACCACTGCGCCACTCGGGAGCCATATGTGTTATTTCATAGTTTTGATGTCTTCACTATTAGAAAATAGTAAAAATAAAGAAAAACCCTTGAATGAGTAGGTGTTCTAAAACGTATGACCGGTAGTGTATTCCAATAGGGCCACTCCCTGTCCACGCTAACCCCCCCCCCCCCCCCCCCGTCTCCCTGTGGTATGTCCTATGCAGATGATCCACAGTTACATGGAGCACTTGGAACGTACCAAACACCAGCAGGAGACATCGTCGGACACAAGCACAAGCAGATCAAGGTAAGGTCATATATACAACTCTCAAAGTCCCATTCCAAGATCACTGCGTGCACAGTATCATATAGCAGTGTTTCCCAAATACACTGCTGGCTCGTGGCCAGTTCATCCTGGGTAGCGCATGTGTTTGCATTTTAGTATACAGCGTCCGTATCAGTATAGCACATCAACATTCATTGGCATAGTTGGCTCCTCACCCTGAGAGAGTAAGTTGATGTGAAGTGCTTCATCACTGTGGCAACACTCCTATGATCACTGCTCTCCACAGGCAGTTCAATGTAGGTCAGAACCTGATGGACAGAAGAACAGAGAAGAGATGGGAGGAGGGGATGGGCAGGGGGAGGGGGGGATGGGAGGGCAGGCGAAAGAGAGGAGAGGATAGGAGGTGACATTTTAGGGGATCTGAGGCGGATGAAGAGGAGATATAGAGATTGAGTGGGACTATTCAACTGTATATGAACCAGCCAGAGGTTTTCAGTGGTCAGCTGCAGTAATCCCACAGTGTGATGATTATAGGGATTCAGAGATGTAGTGTTTTAGTCTGCTGAGCAGATCAGATTTGTGAGCGAAACAGCAGTGAAAGAGGTCATGGTCTCCCGCTGGACAAGCCTCCATTTTGAACGGTATAGAGAGGGAGGATTACTTTGACCACTACATCAGATCAAAGCAGATTGTGATGCTTTTTAGATTTAAACAGATTTAAACTGTTTGTGTTTTGTGTTCACAAGGCGGTTTCCCCTAACAGAAGTGTTACATTATTTATTGTGTGTGTGTGTGGCAGCAGCCCACCACATTCTCTCTGGAGCAGCAGACGCTGCCAGTATCCACAGGTTTGTCCTCCTCCCAGTCTCTCCCTGGCTCAGCCAATCAGCATCGAGCTGAGAGGAGGCATATGTTACCATCTCTGATGCTGCCTCAGCATCCGATAGGGAGGGAGGAGAAGGGAGGGAGGGGAGAGTGAGAGCGAGAATTCTAGACTGTACAGCGGCAGCAGTGTCGCAGCTTAGCAAAGAAAGGAGGACAAGCAGGAGTATCGTATGTCAGAAAGAGGATACGATGCATCAAAAGAGAGGAGAGGAGAAAAGGACAACTGTTGCAAAGCCTCTCTCTCTCTCTGGATGATGTCACAGCAGTGTTGAACTGAAGCCGGTATCACTCTACAGTAGCAGCTGCTGCTCTGCATCTCTCTGCCTCCACCACCACCACCGCTGCTCATGGAATTACTGCTGCTGCTGCTGTTTCTGTGGCCGTCACTCGTTGGCCTGCTGGTCTGAGCTCACATAGCGCCTGACTGCTCTACTCTGAACCAGATCTCCTGTACCTGACCGTTCTTCTCACTTCAACAGTCAGCTATAGATGTGAGGTGTACTTTGTCGACAGACACCGGAGGGAGTATACTTCTTTGCGTCGTCATCCAGGGACAGTGTGTAAAAGCTTCAGAGGCGTGTGTTTTAGCGTCACCCCCTGGCAAAGCCCCCCTCCCCTGGTCCCGGCAGTGTGGGGCGCTGGGCCATGTTCAGGGGGGGCCATGAGCCCGGGGCGTATACTGTTGTTTGTCTTTGGCTTCGTGGGGGGGGCCGTGGTCATTAACTTTGCCGTGCTGGTCTCTCTGTCTGTCCTGCTGCTGGTGCACTACTCTGTCTCTACTGGCCTCCCCGCCCTGCCACGGCCCAGCAGGTACTGTACCACCGTGTGTGTGTGTGTGTGTGTGAGAGAGACAGAAACAGTCTACTGTAAGTCACCTCACTCCTGAAGGTAACTCTCTGTGAAAGGGATGCGTGTGTTCACCTCTTCTCTCTTTCTCCATGTCCTGTCCTCTTCTCTGCTCTCTGTTCCTACAATCTCCTCTCATCTTCTCCTTGTTTCACTCTCTCCATTCTCTGCTTAAATCACCTGTAATTGTATCTGCTTGCTTAGCCCTCTGACTCCACCTCATCCCTCTTTCCCTTGCTTGTTTACTTCCCGTGGGGTAAAGCCAGTTGCCATGATATTAACATGTGGTTACCATGCTGTTGCTGTGTTTGGGACAGACAGCCAGCCATTATGGTTCTGCATGCTGAAAGTAGGTCAGGCGAGAAACTTCTCAAACAGTAGATACTCACAGACATACTCATATCCATTCTAACATTACATCTTATTTACTTTAATGTGTCATTTATTTATACAGTTGATCCCATTTGATAAATAAAATATCTCATTTACAAGAGGGACCTGTCAAAGCTGTATGCTATTTTTGGTTTTAGAGCCAACCTTTAGGATATTTATTTGAGATTCGGGGGAAAAAATTGTTGATTTTAGTTCAGCTTCTCTCCGGTTTATGTCCAATGGCAGGCAGTGAGGCCTCTGTCTCGCTCTCTCCATAATTGTGTGTCGATTGTCTATGGGCTGCTAACAAGTAAAGCTTGCTCTTTTTACATGGACGCCATTGTTTCTGCCTACGGTACCTTTTCTGTTAGCTCCTCATTGATGTGGGTGGGTTAATATTGAGCTCCACTTCCATTGATGTTCAAAGTAGGCTTGGGCGGTATTTGGAAATAGCCACGGGATGGTTTTTCAATACCGTCAATACCTTTAAACTCATTCAAATCAAATCGAATGTTATTTGTCACATGCGCCGAATACAAAAGGTGTCGACTTTACCGTGAAATGCTTACTTACAAGCCCTTAACCAACAATGCAGTTCAAGAAATAGTTAAGAAATATTTACTAAATAAACGAAAGTAAAAAATTAAATAAAAGTAACACATTAAAATAACAATAACGAGGCTATATACAGGGGGTACCGGTACCGAGTCAATGTGCGGGGGTACAGGTTAGTCTAGATAATTTGTACATTTAGGTAGGGGTAAAATGACTATGCATTGATAATAAACAGAGAGTAGCAGCACTATAAATAGTCTGGGTGGCCATTTGATTAATTGTTCAGCAGTCTTATGGCTTGGGGGTAGAAGCTGTTATGGAGCCTTTTGGACCTAGACTTGGCACTCCGGTAATGCTTGCCATGTGGTAGCAGAGAGAACAGTATGACTTGGGTGACTGGAGTCTTTGACAATTTTGTGGGCCTTCCTCTGACACCGCCTAGTATAAACAGTACCAGTCAAAAGTTTGGACACACGTACTCATTCAAGGGTTTTTCTTTATTTTTTACTATTTTCTACATTGTAGAATAACAGTGAAGACATCAAAACTATGAAATAACACATATGGAATCATATGGATGATGATGGCTGCTGTTTTATGGACTCTTAACCAACCATGCTATTTTGTGTGTTTTTTTCGTATTGTTTGTAACTTATTTTGTACATAATGTTGCTGCTACTGTCTCTTATGACCGAAAAGTGCTTCTGGACATCAGAACAGCGATTACTCACCTTGAAATTGACAAATAATTTTTATTTAATGAGTCGGACGAGAGGGATTTGCTCCAGACACCCGACAGGGCCCTCATCCCCGTCATTCTCAGTAGAAAGAAAAGGAGATATCGCAGAAGGAGATCGGGGTGCTTGGTAAGGAGCCGGCGACGAGTGGCTAATCTGCCTTTGCCATCGATACTATTGGCCAACTTACAATCGCTTGATAATAAAGTGGACGAACTACAGGCACGAATATCCTACCAACGGGACATTAAAAACTGTAATATCTTATGTTTCACCGAGTCGTGGCTGAATGAAGACATGAATAACATACAGCTGGCGGGTTATACACTGTATCGGCAGGATAGAACAGCAGCCTCTGGTAAGACAAGGGGTTGCGGTTTATGTATATTCGTAAACAAAAGCTGGTGCACGATATCTAAGGAAGTCTCGAGATTTTGCTCGCCTGAGGTAGAGTATCTCATGATAAGTTGTAGACCACACTATCTACCAAGATAGTTTTCCTCTATATTCTTCGTAGCTGTCTATTTACCACCACAAACCGATGCTGGCACTAAGACCGCACTCAATGAACTGTATACGGCCATAAGCAAACAGGAAAACGCTCATCCAGAGGCAGCGCTCCTAGTGGCCGGGGACTTTAATGCAGGGAAACTTAAATCTGTTTTACCTCATTTCTACCGGCATGTTAAATGTGCAACCAGAGGGAAAAAACTCTAGACCACCTTTACTAAACTAAACCAGGAAGCACCAGTGACTCGGTCAATAAAAAAGTGGTCAGATGCCTCCCAAGTGGCGCAGTGGTCTAAGGCACTACATCGCAGTGCTAGCTGTGCCACTAGAGATCCTGGTTCGAGTCCAGGCTCTGTCGCAGCCGTCCGCGACAGAGAGATAAATTATTTAGTTTTTTTCTTGGTCATTTTTTGGGGGGAAGCCTGGCTTCCCTTGGCATCCATGAATACACGCCACTGGCCGGTAATACCGTATATCCCAGTATGAGAGAAGGACAGTATGATGATATGAAAATCTGCCCAACCCTAGTTCAGAGGCTGATAATGTTTCTCATATTCAGAAAGAGCTGGGAGGAAAGGCTGTGGCGAAAGAACTGTTTGACGTAAAGCAAGAGAAGATTGTTAACTTCACTACGTCAAAGCTCTACGGGGTCTGTAGAACATGTAGGCTAACTCTGGAGTGTGTTTTGAGTGATGTTTTGTCATCAGGGAACTATGGGTGCTGCAAGGTGACATGGAAGTGGGGAAGCTAGCGCGCGCGTGTCATGTCCTCTGGTGGTCCTCTGTAGCTCAATTGGTAGAGCATGGCGCTTGTAACGCCTGGGTAGTGTGTTCGATCCCCGGGACCACCCATACGTAAAAATGTATGCACACATGACTGTAAGTCGCTTTGGATAAAAGCGTCTGCTAAATGGCATATTATTATTATTATATTATTATTATTATTATTATTATATTATTATTATTATATTATTATATGTCTGCTGATGAGTGTGGAACGGAAGAACCAGTACTGTGTGAATCTACCAGCTCTACAGTCACTGGCCTGATATAGCGGCACAGAGGTTACTGAGAGACCAACGGATCAGAGTGATGTCACCCATCAAACTAAAGCACGAAGTGGAAACTGCTGTAGCGCTTCTTTGCCAAACTCTCAATCATTGTCTTTCTTCTCCAAGTTTCTGGTCGGTGTGATGTTTATATATGAAGCTGGTTTGTCGTGTGATGAGTGACTGGCGTGATAAGTTAGTTTGCTAGCTTGATGCCTGCAGCAGAAGTATTGACAAGCATTTTTAAGCACAACACATGGGGTGCAGCACAGCACTCTGTTATAAAAAGGAGCTCAGAGTCCACTTACAAAACACTTCATCACAGCATACAATTACATTATCTATCACTACTGGCACCTGACCTGAACCCACACTATGAATCCACATCATTTAAGGAATTAACATGGTCAACACAACAGCGCCTCTTCCCCCTCAGGAGGCTGAAAAGATTTGGCATGGGCCCTCAAATCCTCAAAGTTCTACAGCTGCACCATTTGAGAGCATCCTGACTGGCTGCATCACCACTTGGTACGGCAACTGCAAGGCAACCGACCGCAAGGCGCTACAGAGGGTGGTGAGTACGGCCCAGTACTTCACTGGGGCAGCGCTCCCTGCCATCCAGGATCTCTATACCAGGCGGTGTCAGAGGAAGGCCCAACAAATTGTCAAAGACTACAGCCACCCAAGCCATAGACTTTTCTCTCTGCTACCAGATTGCAAGCGGTACCAGTGCACAAAGTCTGGAACCAACAGGACCCTGAACAGCTTCTACCCCCAAGCCATAAAGCATGAAACACACCAAGATTCTCAATGCCGATAGACTGCTGATAGGTATTTATCACAGTGGGAGGCCATTCCTTCTCTTGCTAGAACAAAAACGGTAGCTGCTGCATGCCGACCCGGTAGCGACCAACCTGCCGTTTCTACTTGTAGAATCGCAATGCTCGTCAGTGACCAAAAACTTGACTGTTAGCCAGTCAGAGAACAAAAACCCCCAATGGCCGCTAACAGGAGTGACAAAAAGTAGCATTTTCTCCTTACGTCCACGGTTAAATCAAACTCTGTGGTTAAATGTCATGATACAGTATGCAATGTAGGCTATGGGATGGTAGCTAGCTAGGTGCACAGACGCAATGCACACAACACTAAATACTTCCTCTAATTTAGCTAACCACTAGCTAGTATTGACATAATTCAATCACAATTTAACATTTAAGTCATTTAGCAGACGCTCTTATCCAGAGCGACTTACAGTAGTGAGCAATGTTCCCTCTAAGCTGCGTGCGGGCGCGCAGCTCCCCCGGGACTGCCACGCAGAATAAATATCAGCCTGCACAGAGAAGCACTCAACATTCTAGTTTTCCCCTTTTAGTTAACACTATCAACGTTTCCCTACTGTGGGAATTGTGATCGAGTCAACGCAATATTAACCACTTTCAATGCAGCATACTGAAACAAAACGAACTATGCAAGACTTAGTAAGCAAAACTAGCTATGCAAGATATTTTCTTGTAGGCAGAGCACATTGGAGTAGGGGCAACAGACCATTGCCATATATGGATCTGTTCCATTCACTTTGAACTGGACTGTGTTTACAGCATGTGGTTGCCGAGTAGATACGCTTGTTTTGAGATCAAAGCGAGAGCTGCATGTAGCCACGCGTGCACATTTGTTCATATTCTTTGCTAGTGAGTGAGTTATTAGCCCAGATATAGCACATTTATAGTCATCAATGGGGGAGTGGTTGATTCCTATAAAAGCACAAAACGTGTGCATTTCTAGCCATCTTTGAAAAGCGAGTCAAGTAAAGAGCTTTTTTTTTTTGTCTTAATGGGGCAGTGTTGTATTTTGAGAAGGTCTTGAATAAGCCAAGTAGCCAATTGGCAGAGGGTAGTATAATTTGTCTGATTCTCTGTAATGATGGTCTGCTAAATGGCATATTGTTATGATGGTATAGGAATAATAATGAATCTTATTTTGTAAAGTCGTTTCTTGCAACAAACAACACATTTCCAGTCACCACCTTGTCTGAAGGACAAGTGGATAAACAGGTTAATGTCAAGCCCTGTGAGTTTTTTCCAAAAGTCTCATGGAATGTAGGTCTACATTGAACACCACGCATTGGATGCTACTGTAGGCAGAATGATAGAACAGCAATTGTTAAAATGTTATGGGATGCATTTTCTCCATTGTTTTTTATGGTAGGCCACTCAGGTAGGCAGGCCTACATTATGATCAATAGCCACAATAGCCTACTTGGCCACTGTTAAAACTGTAACTTAAAGCGGGTACAGCCTCAGTTCACAGTAAACGCACACCAGAAGAATTTTCACAATGTTCAAGTTTGCGCTCAGCAGACCTGAAATTTGCTCAGTGCCGAAAGAAATTAGAGGGAACATTGGTAGTGAGTGCATACATTTTCATACTTTTTTCGCACTACTCCCCCGAGGCAGTTGAACCCACAACCCTGGCGTTTCAAGCGCCAAGCTCTACCAACTGAGCCACACGGGACAATGAATTAGTTTCCATGAAACAACTTGGCTGTGTTAACTGTTTACTAAATAAATTAAAGTAAATAAAAAAAATAAAAAAAAGTTACACAATAAAATAACAATAACGAGGCTATATAGAGGGGGTACCCGTACCGAGTCAATGTGCGGGGCTACAGGTTAGTAGAGATAATTTGTACATGTAGGTAGGGGTAAAGTGAATGTGCATAGATAATAAACAGCGAGTAGCAGCCGTGTAAAAACAAAGGGGGTGTGGAGGGGGGTCAATGTAAATAGTCCGGGTGGCCATTTTATTAATTGTTCAGCAGTCTTATGGCTTGGGGGTAGAAGCTGTTAAGGAGCCTTTTGGACCTAGACTTGGCTCTCCGGTAACGCTTGCCGTGCGGTAGCAGAGAGAACAGTTTATGACTTGGGTGACTGGAGTCTTTGACAATTGGACCTTCCTCTGACACCGCCTAGTATATAGGTCCTGGATGGCAGGAACCTTGGCCCCAGTGATGTAATGGGCCGTACGCACTACCCTCTGTAGCTCCTTGCGGTTGGATGCCGAGCAGTTGCCATAACAGGCAGTGATGCAACCGGTCTGGATGCTCTCGATGGTGCAGCTGTATAACTTTCTGAGGATCTGGGGACCCATGCCAAATCTTTTCAGTCTCCTGAGGGGGAAAAGGTTTTGTCGTGCCCTCTTCATGACTGTCTTGGTGTGTTTGGACCATGATAGTTTGTTGGTGATGTGGACACCAAGGAACTTGAAACTCTCGACCCACTCCACTACAGCCCCGTCAATGTGAATGGGGGCGTGTTCGGCCCTTCTTTTCCTGTAGTCTTGCTCACATTGAGGGAGAGGTTGTTGTCGTGGCACCACACTGACAGGTCTCTGACCTCCTCCCTATAGGCTGTCTCATTGTTGTCGGTGATCAGGCCTACCACTGTTGTGTCGTCAGCAAACTTATTGATGGTGTTGGTGTCGTGCTTGGCCACGCAGTCATGGGTGAACAGGGAGTACAGGAGGGAACTAAGCACACACCCCTGAGGGGCCCCCGTGTTGAGGATCAGCGTGGCAGATGTGTTGTTGCCTACCCTTACCACCTGGGGGTGGCCCGTCAGGAAGTCCAGGATCCAGTTGCAGAGGGAGGTGTTTAGTCCCAGGGTCCTTAGCTTAGTGATGAGCTTTGTGGGAACTATGGTGTTGAACGCTGTGCTCTAGTCAATGAACAGCATTCTCACATAGGAGTTCCTTTTGTCCAGGTGGGAAAGGGCAGTGTGGAGTGCGATTGAGATTGCGTCATCTGTGGATCTGTTGGGGTGGTATGCGAATTGGAGTGTGTCTAGGGTTTCCGGGATGATGGTGTTGATGTGAGCCATGACCAGCCTTTCAAAGCACTTCATGGCTACTGACGTGAGTGCTACGGGGCGGTAGTCATTTAGGCAGGTTACCTTCGCTTCCTTGGTTACAGGGACTATGGTGGTCTGCTTGAAACATGTAGGTATTACAGACTCGGTCAGGGAGAGGTTGAAAATGTCAGTGAAGACACTTGCCAGTTGGTTGGCGCATGCTCTGAGTACACGTCCTGGTAATCCGTCTGGCCCCGCGACCTTGTGAATGTTGACCTGTTTAAAGGTCTTGCTCACATCGGCTATGGAGAGCGTGATCACACAGTCGTCCGGAACAGCTGGTGCTCTCATACATGTTTCAGTGTTGCTTGCCTCGAAGCGAGCATAAAAGGCATTTAGCTCGTCTGGTAGGCTCGCGTCAATGGGCAGCTCGCGGCTGGGTTTCCCTTTGTAGTCCGTAATAGTTTGCAAGCATCAGAGCCGGTGTAGTAGGATTCAATCTGACCACTTCCGTATTGAGCGAGTCACTGGTACGTCCTGCTTTAGTTTTTGCTTGTAAGCAGGAATCAGGAGGATAGAATTATGGTCAGATTTGCCAAATGGAGGGTGAGGGAATGCTTTGTATGCGTCTCTGTGTGTGGAGTAAAGGTGGTCAAGAGTTTATTTTCCTCTGGTTGCACATGTGACATGCTGGTAGAAATGAGGTAAAACCGATTTAAGTTAATGTCTCTATGACTCACATAAAGTGCAAATTAGGAAAAAAACGTTAACTTCTCCTGAGACCAATCAACAATCCATCTCTTCTCCCTTATTCTGTCACTACTGAATATTCCTTCCCCGCTTCTTTCTCTAAATCCAGGAAGGAACGTCCCATCTCCATGGGGTTATTCCAGTTACCAGGAAGGGATTTGACCCCTGACCCGCAGAGGGAAACCGTGGAAACGCCGTCTGAACCCTGGAGATATAACGACCTAAGCCACCCTTACTCCAACACCAGCCTTAAGGTAACAATCTACTTCCCACGTCAATCGCTTTTCTCAGATGCCAACGTTGTTCTAACATGCAGCCACTGTTTTGGACATACTTTTCACAAATTCACTGTGTGAGTACAAAGTGTACTCAATGGTTTAAATCTGCAATCTAAGATGAACGACTGTACCCTCAGACCTGACCAGCCCCCATGCCTCCTCTCCTCTTAGCGTTTCCCAGGACTCTGAGGGGTGACGTAAGGCAGGGGTAATTTGGCCCAGAGTAGATAGTGTGTGTCTGTGTGGAAACATACGATTTCAACCCTTCACTCTGCCAGAGGATGGGAAGCCTTATTGAAAAGGAAGCTTGATTCAGTGTGTCTGTACTACCAAAGCACGATTGAGAGGGAGACTTGAATCAGTGTGTCCGGAATGCCTAAGGGGTGAGAGTGTGGCTGGGGGCCCATGGGGAGAGAGGAAGTGGTACCATTCGGGGCCAGGAGCAGGGGAAGAGTAGAACAGAGGAGAGAGAACAGGGGAATAGAGGAGCGAGAGAAGAGTTAAACAGAGAAACAGGACAGAGTGTCTTAGCAGACCGAAGGGCCGCTTTCTGCCGGGGCCACACTAGAACCTCCCCGCGGTTGCCCATAGAAACCACGCCGCGAGCAAGGTTCCATCATGAATACTCATTCATGATTGGCTGATTTTAAGTATTCATTTGTTGTGATATTTTCCTCCACGGGGGTCAGATGGAATGATTCAGATACCAGGAAGAGGGGGCTTTCATGTCAGAAGTTGCAAGACAACATTTGAAATAAGATATGGGACTGGCAGTTAAGTTTCATCTACTAATGTTTAAGCTCAGTCCTGGCTGCTACTAAATCATATTTTCTACTTAATCCTCCTCTATCCTCCTATCTATCAAACCTTTGCTTTCTCTATGAAAGCATCTCTTTTCTTTCTCTATCCCTGATCCCACTAAACTGTCCCTTTCTCACTTTTGAGGCCTCTGGCACAATAGAGGTGTCAGTGTGGATCACACGCTGACTTTTTCAAACACACACACACATACATAGCCTTTTCACCAGGCTCCCACAGTTCAGACTCACAGGGATGCCTTTGTGTTACACCTCTGATTCGACATTTCCCAAAGATTTACAGTTTTCGGGGGGGGGGGGGGGGGGGGGGGGTGCGTTAGCTAGCTGTTCCCATGGACTTCCAGTCATTGAGCCAACAACTATCCATTTAAAAGCGCATCTTGCCAGAAAAAATAAATAATATATACAGTTGAAGTCGGAAGTTTACATACACTTAGGTTGGAGTCATTAAAACACGTTTTTCAACCACTCCACAAATGTCTTGTTAACAAACTATCGTTTTGCCAAGTCTGTTAGGACATCTACTTTGTGCATGACACAAGTCATTTTTCCAACAATTGTTTACAGACAGATTATTTCACTTATAATTCACTGTATCACAATTCCAGTGGGTCAGACGTTTACATACACTAAGTTGACTGTGCCTTTAAACAGCTTGGAAAATTCCAGAAAATGATGTCATGGCTTTAGAAGCTTCTGATAGGCTAATTGACATCATTTGAGTCAATTGGAGGTGTACCTGTGGATGTATTTCAAGGCTTACCTTCAAACTCAGTGCCTCTTTGCTTGACATCATGGGAAAATCAAAAGAAATCAGCCAAGACCTCAGGAAAAAAAAAAACGGTAGTCCTCCAAAAGTCTGGTTCATCCTTGGGAGCAATTTCCAAACACCTGAATGTACCACGTTCATCTGTACAAACAATAGTACTCAAGTATAAACACCATGGGACAACACATCATACCGCTCAGGAAGGAGACGCGTTCTGTCTCCTAGAGATGAATGTACTTTGGTGCGAAAAGTGCAAATCAATCCCAGAACAACAGCAAAGGACCTTGTGAAGATGCTGGAGGAAACATGTACAAAAGTATCTATATCCACAGTAAAACGAGTCCTATATCGACATAACCTGAAAGGCCGCTCAGCAAGGAAGAAGCCACTGCTCCAAAACCGCCATTTAAAAGCCAGACTACGGTTTGCAACTGCACATGGGGTCGAAGATCGTTCTTTTTGGAGAAATGTCCTCTGGTCTGATGAAACAAATATAGAACTGTTTGGCCATAATGACCATCGTTATGTTTGGAGGAAAAAGGGGGTCGCTTACAAGCCAAAGAACACCATCCCAACCGTGAAGCATGGGGGTGGCAGTATCATGCTGTGGGGGTGTTTTGCTGCAGGAGGGACCGGTGCACTTCACAAAACAGATGGCATCATGAGGAAGGAAAATTATGTGGATATATTGAAGCAACATCTCAAGACATCAGTCAGGAAGTTAAAGCTTGGTCGCAAATGGGTCTTCCAAGTGGAAAATGACCCCAAGCATACTTCCAAAGTTGTGCCAAAATGGCTTAAGGACAACAAAGTCAAGGTATTGGAGTGGCCATCACAAAGCCCTGACCTCAATCCTATAGAAAATGTGTTGGCAGAACTGAAAAAGCGTATTTAGTCAGCCACCAATTGTGCAAGTTCTCCCACTTAAAACGATGAGAGAG